CAAGGGGTTGCAAAGAGTCAGACATGACTTAGCGACTGAACAACAATATGTTCACATATATAATGTAAATTTATAATTACATATTCTATATAAATATATTTATTTTATATTAATGCCACATCAGAGTCTCCCTCTCTGGTGCTTGTATTCTTTTTTTTTTTGCCAATTTACTGATGCTGCGTAGTAAGTCATTTCCAGACGGGAAGGCACTTAGGGAAGTAAATTAGTTCTTTAAGCCCTAGGGTGCCAGTTAGTCGAGTAAGGACAATGGAACTAGAAGGTCGAAAAAGATGATGCTGTCCAACTCCCTCATTTTTCAGTTCAAGTGACAAAGGCTCAAAGGGGTTGTGCCTTGCACAAGCATGTCTGGTTCTGCCACTATTACTGTGAAGTAAAACTGGAAGTGTTAGTAGCTCCAGTGTCCAACTCTCTGTGACACCATGGACTTTAGCCTGCCAGGCTCCTCTGTCCATGGAATTCTCTAGGCAATGGAGAATTCACTGGAGTGGGTTGCCTTCTCTAGGGGATCTTCTCCACCCAGGGATCGAACTTGGGTCTCCTGCATTGCAGGCAGATTCTTTACCAGTGAGCCACCAGGGAAGCCCCAACTATTACTGTAATCTCAGACAAGTCCTTAACGATGTCTGGACTTCCACTCCTTTCTCTGTAAAATGACAGGTGATCATCACAGCTAACATCTTTCAGGTGCTTCCTGTGTTTCCAACACTGTCCTGAGTACTTTAAGTGTCTTTTCTAATTCTCCCAACACCTTCATAAATTATATATAATTACCTTCAATTAGAGATGAGACTATCAAAACACAGAAAGCTTAAATAATTTGCCCCTGATAAGACAATTGAGAAATGTTGCAAAGCTGGCCTAGTAATCTAGGAATAACTCCCTCCAAGATTCTCATATTCCAATTCTTAAATCCCTTCTAAGAAAACTCCATCAGGAAGCTTCTCAAATTCCTCTAGCTCTGAAAGTCTAGAGCAGAGTTAACAAACTATGTCACCGCCTTTGTTTACAGAAAGGCATTGGCTGCCTTTGCACCACCAACAGCAGAGATTAGTACCAGCAATAGAGGTTGTATGGTCAGTAAAACCTGAAATATTTACTCTCTGGTTCTTTACAGAAAAAAAAACTGTGCTGACACCTGCTCTAGAGCTTTGAAAATTTAGAGCATGCTGAAACTGTACAGCATTTTACAATGTACAAAGCACCTTGGCAAACGTCATCACATTTAATCCTTGTTTTGCAAGGGGCATTCAAGCATTATAAAGGAGGAAGTTAATTTAAGTAACTTGCCTAATCAGGGTCACAGAGGCAGACGGTGGCAGAACCACACACCCTGGTTTGGACTCCAGACTGTGAGCTCTTTCCATGAAGCTACCCTGTCTCCTCTAAATTACTGTTAAGGAAGGGTTTGGAAACTGGAAAAGACCTGTAAATACTGAAGGTGAGTCAGACTGTCTTCCTGCTGTCAATATCATTCCAGGTCCACTAGTAATTAAAGTCATCAAGCACTAAAGATAGTAAATTAAATTTGTAATAAATTGGAAAGAAAATTTTAAGAAAGCCACTTTGGAATATGTGATGTATTTCTATGTATTTTTGTACTAATGTATATGAAATTGTAAACTACTCAGAATGACTTGAAAATTGAAATTTACATAAAATGAGCAATTGCCCATTTCTCTTGCTCTTTGATGAGATTAGCCTTAAAATACACTGTTTTTTTCCTTACCTAGAATTTGCCCATGAATAACACTGCAATTATACCTTCCTCATGCTTAGCAATAAAAAAATACATGGTTAGTTTTAAACAGACTTAATACTAAAGAGAATATTAGTAAAATAATACTTAATTTAACAACAAAAACTTAATATAACTTAATAAATTAAAAAAATTTTTTTCAAAGAAAGCATAGGTGCTTCTTCCTACCCTGCAAATTCAAGCTCAATCTAAATAGCAGTGATGCATCTTGAATAGCTAGTATGGCTAGCTTTAGGGATTCATTTGAAATACATGATATGAGGTCACTTGCTTTTTATTTCAGATATATTCTGTAATATATCTTGAGATTTAATTTTATAATCCATATAAGTGGATATGGAGGCACCCTGAAATCACTCCAAGAAGGGGAAAAAACCCTATTTTTCTGTCACCAATTGAGTCACCACTATGTGTTAGGCACCTTTTTACTCTGTTCTCTGAACAGCTCATAAGCTGCTGTGAAGCCATTTCCTGCTCCATTTAAGATGAGAAAACTGAGGCCCAGGGTTATTACTAATTTGCCTGAGGTCACATGGCTGGAATTCAAATCTAAACCAGATTACCTTCACAATCCAAACTATCCCCCAACTGTCCCATGTAGATTTCCAATAACCCCAAGATTATTAGCCAATAAGTCATAAATAGTTATTTAAAGAGTACAATTTTTCCTTCTTTATTGAATGACTCTACTTGATATTGTAATTTTGCCCATACTATTTTAATGAGGAAATTTTATCCAGGGATTTCAATTTCTCTTTTTAAGGAAAAGGAAGAACTGAAGCACCTAGATTTTAGTGAGTTTTTTAAGTCTGCAACAAATGTTTACAAATAAGTTACTTTATGAATCAGCTCATTGTACTAATCAAATGCAAAATTACTGTTTACAGCAGAATTCTGTATAAACCTAATTAATGTTGGACCTCACCCGCCATAATTAGTCACTGAGGGTGCTTATTATAATAAATCAAGGAGGAAAAAAAGACTCCATTATTTTAGGCTTTAAATCAACTGGCTTTCTAATAACTGATTTATGGTACTATTAAGAATGTCACTTAACTCCTAATTTATTCCTCCTCTTCAAATTAGGAGTTTGGGATTAACAGATACACACTACTATATGTAAAAGATAAACAACAAGGACCTACTGTATATCACAGAGAACTATATTCAATATCTTGTAATAAGCTATAATAGAAAAGAATCTGAAAAACAATGTACATTATCTATAAATTATGTTATAGAGAATGTAGGGCTTCCCAGGTGGCTTTAGTGGTAAAGAACTGGCCTGCAAATGCAGGAGACATAAGAGACTCGCGTTCAACCTGTGGGTCAGAAAGATCCCCTGGAGAAGGGAATGTTTACCCACTCCAGTATTCTTATCTGGAGAAACCCATGGAAAGAGAAGCTTGTAGGACTACAGTCCATAGGGTCACAAAGAGTTGGACACGTCTGAAGCTACTTAGCATGCATAGATAATATATATTATATATAAAATATATATATAAAACTCAATCACTTTGGCACACACCTGAAACTAACATGACATTGTAAATCAACAATATGTTAATTAAAAAAAAAGAATGTTACTTTAACAAATAAGGTCTGCCAGTTGCTTTTTGACAAAGGCCAATTTCAAGAGCCTTAAAGACAGGGATCCTGCCTTACATATTTTTGTCTTTCTCATGCTCAGGGTTTCACACAGTGCAGGTACATGGTGACACCTAACATGCTGTTCATTCGACAGTTTTTAGTCAACGGATATATTTACAAGGTTGATCCCACAGCACAGTCTCAAGGGCCGTATAAATGTTTGTATCTAGATGGTAAAGAATCTGCCTGCAATGCAGGAGACCTGGGTTTGATTCCTGGGTCAGAAAGATCCCCTGGAGAAGGGAATAGCAACCCACTCCAGTATTCTTGCCAAGAGAATCCCATGGACAGAAGAGCCTGGCTACAGTCCATAGGGTCACAAAGAGTCAGACATGACTAAGCAACTAAGCACCTACATGAACGTACTACTGGGCAGACCTGAAGGGGAACCTGGTGGCCCCAGGGAGAATTGCAGATTTTGGTAACAAATGATAAAGTTTTACTGCAGGCACTGATTTAATTCTATTCCCTAGCAACCAAACATTTAACTTCAAACTGACAAGAGTCAAAAACTGCCATTAACAGCCACCAGGAGACTTTTTTCTTTTTGCATGATTCCATAATACACTGCAACCTCACTCGCTGTTCTGCAGAGAGGTAATGCCGGCACCCCTGGAGGACTGACTTTCCAGTAAAGACACAAAAATAAATAATTCTGTGGAAAATGACATTATGGCTTCCTTTTCTAGGTAAACATAGGCTGGATTTCTGGGGTGAAGGGAGAAAAAGGTTGCTTCTGCTTTATTTTCACATCTGTAATTATGGTTTTTAAAAAAATCCAGGTTATAGAAAAACGGATACAGAAGAAATCAGGAGATGATTATTCACATTGTAAAGGGATTCTCCACAGGGTTCCATTAAACACTGCACTCTCTTATAAGAGTGGATTTGATTAAAAAGCGGCCTTTCAGGAATACATTTGTATAAAGCGAGGCACACCAAATATTCACTCTCACTCTTATCCAAGGACAATCCAGCATCTTGTTTCCGTTCATAAAGCAGGGGAACAAACAACAGTAGTTGTTACTGAAGTCAGTGGAGGCCTGGACCACCCTCCTCACCTTTCTTAGGTGATGAGGCTTTGAGGAATCCAGGTACAAAGAGTAAGACGCACTGGTAACCACAGTCCCTTTGCTATCCTGCAACAAGGCTCTTTCTAAAACCAGGGTTTTGCAGCATTTGGCCCAGAGACATGTGAGTGGAGGAGTCTGTGAAATTTGGACTCAGCACAGGTCACAAATATAGCCTGTGGCAGATGAGGAAATTCAGATCCACGGACCATGGTTTCTCGTAGGTAAACTGTTTTCTCAACTTACAAGGAGGAGCAAAGATCCCCTCTTCGCCCCTGAACTCGGATGCCCTCAGACAACCACGAGTTACGCAAAACCCACGAGCACCCAGGATCCTTCCCACCCAGCCTTTGTGTTGAATGATATTAACTGGCAAATCAACTTGTTCCCATTGATTAAAAACAGGTATTTGGGAAATGCAGTCCCATGACTCGGCGGTCAAGGAGAGGCACCGCAGAGCATCCAGACTTGGCCTCCAGGGTCACACCCGGGGGACAGTGACCTCACTGTTGAAACCAGCCAGCCAAGTTGGGGACGCTCTTGCGTTGGTCCCCAGCCTTCTGCACAGCCTGGCAGGCCAGGCACCAGGGCTCATCCCAGAAGGAGGTGACGTGCACGGCATGGCTCCGGCGCCACCTGAAGTAGCTGCGATAGGCGGTCGGGTTGCGGTCCAAGAACTGCAGGTGGGCGGCCAGGGAGGACGCAGAAGGGAAGTCGTCCACGTGGATGAAGGCATAGGAGGGCACAAAGCGCTCGTAATTGGTGCGGTTGGGGCCCAGCACGATCGGCACAGCCCCGGCCAGGAAGGCGTTGCGCCAGAGCTTCTCGGTGATATAATCCAGGTGCTGTGAGTTCTCGAAGGCCAGGTAGAACTTGTAGCGGGCCACCGTGTGCACTAGCTCCGCGCTGGGGAGCGGCTGCCCGGGCCCGGCCTTGCCGAACACGTCCACGGGCACGAACTGACTCAGCTGGCGGTAGTAGCGCACGCGCGCCTGGCGCTCGTCCCAGTTGCTCACCACCCAGGCCACCAGGCCATGCTTCCGGGCCAGCGGGGGGACCAGCCCCGGGGGCTGCTCGCTGGGATGGGTCCTGGGGTAGAGGTAGCCGTAAGGCACGAAGATGTCCGAGTCGGCCCTGTAGGAGAGCGTCCAGTTGAAGATGTTACCTGCCAGACCCTGCAACCCCGGGGAGTGGGAGGGCGACTCGAAGTTCATCCACACCCAGCGCTGGCCCGGGGGCCGGGGGCCCAAGGCGGCCAGGGCTTTGGCCTCAGCCGCTTGCCTCTCGTCCATCACCAGCACTTTCTGCTCCTCCGCCGGGGGCATCTGGACGCCCCAGGGCGGGGGCCAGTCCGGGGGTCCCTTCACCAGGTCTCGGTGGTGGAAGAGCACCGCCTGGGCCTCCCCGTAGGCCGCGCGATCCGTGTGCAAGACGCAGCCGCTGATGTTGAAGCGCCGCTGGCAGTCGGGGGGCGGCCTGCCAGAGTGGTGTCGGCCCCTAAAGGGTTCCCACCACAGCAGCACGTTCACCGGCCGCGGCGGGCCAGGGGAGGCCCAGGGCAGAGGCGGCAGCTGCTTCAAGCAAACGTAGATGGCCACGACGGTGGACAGCAGGCTGGCGGCCAGCAGCGCCAAGTGGGCGCCGGGCAGCCCCGAGCCTCCGCGCTGGACGCTCCGCCGGCCCCAGCGCGCGCGCATGGAGAGCGCCGGCAGAGCCGCCGCCGCCGCCCGCCGCGCGGCCGCGAGCGTGGAGCGCCGGCGCCCGCTCTCATGCTGCCGAGGCGGCTCCAGCTTTCTTAGGCGCTCCCCCCCGCCCTGGAGCGCGAGAGGGCGGTCCCGGGATCTGAGGACCCGCGGGTCCCGCTCTCCTCCCCGCCGCTCCCCTCCGGGCGAGGTTCCCGGGCGAGGGGGGCGGACCCGACGGCCCAACCTGGCGCCGCTGGGTCCCTCCCCTCCACCGCGCCCCCGGCCCGACCGGCCCGGCCGGGCCCCGGGCGCCTCCTGCTGCACCTCCGTCCACTCCCGCGCCCCTCCAGGGTTTCTGGATTCCCCGGCGGCGCCCCACCCGCGGCTCCGGATGCCTCTCTCCGCACACCCCAAGCCCCGGCCCGGAGTATTCCCTCCCAGCTACGCCCCGGCCCTCAATCGCGGCGGCCCAGACGCTTGCCTTCCAGGGTGAGGGCCGGGTTCACCCCCTGGCGCGGGCAGGCGGCGTGAGACCCTCCGAAGCCGCGGCGGCGGCGCGAGAGGAGGCGGGCACCGGAGAAAGGCGGCCCGGGGGTGGGACCGGGGAACCGCTTCCTTCCTCTCGTGCCGTCCGGGGCCGGTGACGCCTGCGGGAGGGAGGGAGCCCGCGAGGCCGATGTGCGGAGCGGACGGAGGCGCAGCCTAGATCTCGTGACCTGCCGCCCACCCCGCAGGCCCTGCACTCGGCCTCCTAGGCGCGGCCCATAGAGTTGGTGCAGTTTGTGAAACCAAGTTTTCCAGGAAAGCCTACTGTCAAAAGGACCTTCGCTTTGCCTATCGCTCCAGCAGTGGAGAGAGAATTGCTTCTGAACAATGGAATTGTTCTGTTTCTTCCCTCCACCACTGAATGAACGCTTCTGCCTGCTGGCTCAAAGCTTTCTTTGTACCAGGGCTAGGAGAACTCATAAACCAAACGTAAAAATGTGGCCCTTGAGGCCATTGTCCTCAGGGAAATTCCTGCCTATTCAATGAGATGAATGAATGAACTCCACCATTTTTTTTCCTTCTAAGCACTTAAGAAAAGGCTTAGTATCTGCACTTAGGAATAGGAAGATCATACAAAACACAGAACTATAAAATGATGACTAAGATAAACATCATAGCATCCAAGTTCAGGATATGAAGGGTAAGTATCGCAGTGGTACCTTCCGGTTGACCAGCGAAGCAACCGAGGCATCTACCTCCACAGTGACTTAAGGAATTTTTTCCTTATGGCTTGATTTTGAATTTCTGGATTTTGACCTTCATTTATGTAACTAAACTTTTCTTCAGCAAATTTCTAAATTGGGCATGGGCGGGCTGCTGATCTGAGAAGAGGCGGCAGTTTTGAGAGAATTTTTAGAGCCCAGCAGTGCATGGGTGGTGACCCAGCCCACTACCAGGTAAGTTACAAGATGTTAGGGGAGAAATAGACTTGCTGGGAAGGGGCCAACCTGACAGGTGTTTTTGATGTTATGCCGTTTGGATTTATTGTGAAAAACTTTTTCATTGAAAACCAAGTACAGATGGTAAAAGCTTCCATAAAATGGTTTCAGGTGGCACTTCCTGCCTGCCTACACTGGCCGTTTGGAAGCTGAATGAACAGTGTTAGGTGCTCTGGCTATACCCATCAACCTAGTGATACTTTCTCCTACACCGAAACTTTATAATGTTTTTCTTTCCATAGAATCACTTTTCAAGCTATTAATAGTTAAGCAAATAGGCTTTGAAATAAGATATCTCGGTGATTCTCCAGTTTGTTTTTAATTAGAAAGAAAAAAACTATAAATGAATGAATAACTTCCTTTCAAAGGAAGGAAAGGACATGTTGGGTTTTCTTTTTATACGATTCAGAAATCTATACCTTTATGCCCATCATCTCTCCCCCACTTCAGTAAAATGAGACGTCATAGATAGAGCCTAACATCGTGTTTGGCATTTGGTAAATGTTAATCTGCTTGCTTATTATTCAATTTTCCTTTGTTGTTGTTCACTCTCTCAGTCATGTCTGACTCTTTGCAACCCGGTGGAGTTGCAGCATGCCAGGCTTCCCTGTCCTTCACTATCTCCGTGAGTTTGCTCAAACTCATGTCCGTTGGGTTGGTGATGCCATCCAACCATCTCATTGTATGTCGCCCCCTTTTCCTCCTGCCCTCAATCTTTCACAGCATCAGGGTCTTTTCCAATGAGTCGGCTCTTTGCATCAAGTGGCCAAAGTATTGAAGCTTCAGCTTCAGCATCAGTCCTTTCAGTGAATAATCAGAGTTGATTTCCTTTAGACTGACTGGTTTGAGCTTGCTGTCCAAGGGATTCTCAAGAGTCTCTCCAGCATCACAGTTTGAAAGCATCAGTTCTTCAGAGCTCAGTCGTCTTTATGGTCCAACTCTCACATCCAGACATGACAACTGGAAAAACCATAGCTTTGGCTAGACGAACCTTTGTAGGCAAAGTGATGTCTAGCTTTTTTAAATACGCTGTCTAGGTTTGTCATTGCTTTTCTTCCACGGAGCAAGTGTTTGACTCCTGGAGAAGGAAATGGCAACCCACTCCAGTATTCTTGCCTGGAAAAATCCCTATGGGCAGAGAAGTCTGTTGGACTACAGTCCATGGGGTGGCAGAGTTGGACATGATTTAGCAACTGAAAAACAACAACAGTATAACCAGTTAACAATGTTGTGATAGTTTCAGGTGGACAGCAAGGGACTCAACCATACATATACATGTATCCATTCTCCCCGAAACTCCCTTCTCATCCCGGCTGCCACATGACATTGGGCAGAGTTCCATGCGCTATACAATGGGACCTTGTTAGTTATCCATTTTAAATATAGCTGTGTGTACGTGTCCATCAAGATTAGTAATTTTAAAAGCTCACTTGTGGAAGGAGATGAGTATACACATGAGACGGGCTTCTGGTGTGCTGGCCGTGTTTATTGATGTGGGCACTGGTTAATGGGTGTATTTTGTTGAGGAAATTCATCGGACTGTATGCTTACATATGTAATTTTATGTATGTATAGTATGTCAATAAAATGTTGCTAAGAAATCATTCTGTCATCAGTGAAGAATGAACTGGGTGTTGTGCTTAGTTGCTCAGTCGTGTCTGACTGTTTGGACTGTAGCCCGCCAGGCTCCTCTGTCCATGGGGATTCTCCAGACAAGAACACTGGAGTGGGTTGCCATGCCCTTCTCCAGGGAATCTTCCCAACCCAAGGGTCAAACCCAGGTCTCCCACATTGCAGGCAGATTCTTTTCCATCTGAGCCACCAGGGAAATTGGGTATTAGGGACCAGGATAAGAGTAGAAGTATCTAGGCCAGTTAGAAAGCTCTTGCTATAATTAAGATGTGAAACGAGAGCCTGAACTAAGATAGTAGCTGTGAGAAAGAGATTAAAATTAAAGGAATCAATTCAGAGATATGTAGCAGGCCAGTCTCTTTCTCCAGGAAGCCCTCCTGGACATCCATACGCATACATCTGGGGTAGGTCACATGGCCCTCCTGTGTGCCTATATATACATCTTTCAGAACATGACTGGGCAATGATCATGGCTGTTTCCGTCAAACTCTATCCCTAGCACAGAACCAGGCATTTAGTTGTATTCATTATCTCAATGAATACTTGTTGAGAGAATGAATGCTCTTATTGTATCATTAAAATGCTCTGTTAATATCACTGATCCCCAGCTAGAAAGTAGGCAAGTATCAGGAGAAGCTGGCTATTTGAATGACTTGTTGTGACTTTAAGAAGTTCCTTAGGCTTTCAGTGGTAAATGCTATATATATATTAATCAGGACCCTGAGGACAGTCATCAGAAACTCCATCAAATTAGGCTGGGTCTCACTGGCACAACCTGGACCAGGCACTTATGCTTGAACAATCACTGTGGTCAGGGCATGTGGACTTCCTTCAGACCCTCTTCTGGGTCTCAGGGGTAGAATCAATCCAATATAAAGACGGTGGACTAACAATGGGGGAAAGGTAATTCCCCAAATGAAAAAGTGAAGTGCTCTTCCTACCTGAAGAAGAGAGAAGGGACAGTGGCAGACACCGAAATCATGAGTCTACCCACCTTGTGCAATTCTAAATAAATTCTAAATCACTTTAGAACTTTAAACATTCTATGATTCTTTTTAACTTTGTAACAATAAGCAAATGCTTCTTTTGTATGTATTTAAAGACCTCCTAGTTTCCACAAAATATTACACAAGAAGAACTGGATTTCAGTCGTAAGCATGACGACAATGTCAGGTATCAATAAGGAATTTTGACTAAAGGTTTGTAGCTTTAGCGACGAACTAGAGGAGAGCTCCAAAATTCAAGGCTCACTTCATCAAGATGGTTGATGGATCCATGCACAGTGGGACCAAGGATGGTATATTCAGTTCCAAAATTTGATATAGGGACTGGATTCTCCGGGGGCAAGAACCAGGCCAACTGTGGTTCCTAAAAATTCAACTCATGCTTTGTTCTTTTCCATGGGAAGAGTTCATTCTAAGCCTGTCCTACTGCTCCTCAGGACTTCCCAAGTGGTGCAGCGGTAAAGAACCTGCCTGCCAAAGCAGGAAACATGAGTTCCATCCCTGGGTGGGGAAGAGCCCCTGGAGTAGGAAATGGCAACACACCCCAGTATTCTTGCCTGGAAAATTCCATGAACAGAGGAGCCTGGCAGGCTACAGTCACAAAGAGTCAGACATGACTGACTGAGCACACACACACACTGCTCCTTCCCAGAGACAGATGCTATTTTCCAGAGATGCCTCAGAATGTGTTGTGACTGCCCTGTGTCTGCCCACCAGCACCAAGCTCACAGTCAGCCTGGGGTCCATGAGAATCAGACTGTCCTCAAATGGGTTGCTATTTTTGATTAGATCTGAGATTTCTGCAACTGAACATTGACCTGCTAAATATACTTCAATTTTTTTTTTTTTTCCCTTGAAGACAGAAAAGGGCAAAGTTCCTCCCAGGATGACATACTTACTAGGAAATGGGGAGCAACCAGTGAGCAGGTATAACTGGAAAAGCTAACTCGTACGCAGAAAGGTGATTATTTCTTTTGTCAGATATGATTTTTCTTCTGTGCATAATTGGGCTGATGATTATGGAGTTATTTAGTTAATAACTATTAAGGATTGTGTAAGTTCCATAACAATCCACAAGTTATTGTTCATCGCCCTATTAAATCCTTGATAGAAAAATAAAACTAGCACCAACTTTTAAGGTTGCTGGTCTATCTCAGTGCAAAATTTTACTGCCCCTAAAAGATTGTGATGAATAGTCAATATGAGAATGTATTACACTTACTTTAGGATTTTAACTCTTATGCACTCAAGTTCTTTCTGTATTCTTACTTGACTGAACAGGTAATGCAAGAATTTTGGATGTTCAGGAGAAGGTACATTGTGAAATTCTGGTTTACAGTCAGAAATATTTGTATCATATTCAAATTGTTTGTAGGGCTTACATCTGCATTCTCCTTGTTAAACTACTCTTTCTTAGAGTGTATTTGCAGTCACGTGTACAAGTTATGGAATACAAGACTTACATGACAGAGAATTATTTTGGCCTTCTGAGGTGACCCACAATCTGTCTGTGGAATGTGTTTCTCTCTAAATAAACTCATTTCTTACCACCCAAAAAGAGAAATAGAAAATTACGTTGACATTGCAATGGACATGTTAATATCACACAGTGCAGTGCCTGGTACATACAA